GGCCCCCACTCTCTTCTGGCTTGTAGGGTTTCCGCTGAGAGATCTGCTGTAAGTCTAATAGGCTTCCTTTTATAAGTAACCTGGACTTTCTCTCTGGCTGCCCTTAGTGTTTTCTCCTTCATTTCGATCCTGGTGAATCTAACGATTATGTGCCTTGGGGTTGCTCTTCTTGAGGAATATCTTTGTGGTGTTCTCTGTATTACCTGGGGTTGAATAGTGTCCAGCTTTGGTAGATTGGGAAAATTTTCCTGGATAATATCCTGAAAGCAGGAGTTGCAATTCTCACATTTGATAAAATAGATTTCAAAGCAACAAAGATACAGTGGTAAAAGGATCAATGCAACAATAAGAGATCTTAATACCCAGATACATAAGACCCATAACGAGATTTAGACTCAACAAGACAGAAAATTAATAAGGGTATCCAGGACTTCAACTCAGATCCAGAACAAGTAAACTCAATAAATATTTATAGAGTTCTCCATTTTAAATACACAAAATATTGATCGGCCATTATTAATACCCATTTTTAGAATGAAGCAATATTCCTGTTCTCTCTCCCTCTTTTTCTTCCTCTTTCGTCCTCTCCTTCTCCCCTTTTTTTACTTTTCAACATCCTAGTTCCTCACCTCTACTCAATACATTCCTCTGAACACCTGATTCCTTGTGATTCTCCCATCCCACTGAAACCTCCAATCCATTAAAAAAATAATAATAATAATAATTTTTGTATTTTTAGTGGAGATGGGGTTTCACCATCTTGGCCAGGGTGATCTTCAACTCCTGACCTCATGATCCACCTCCCTCAGCCTCCCAAAGTGCTGGGATCACAGCCATGAGCTGCCATGACCAACCACTGTAATTTCTTTTAAAATTAGGAGAAAAAAAATAAATATAATAGCAATGCATAAATAACGAGGCCTGGTGTGATGGTTCATGCCTGTAATCCCAGCACTTTGGGAGGCCAAGGCAGGCGGATCACTTGAGGTCAGGAATTTGAGACCAGCTTAGCCAACATGGTGAAACCCTGTCTCTACTAAAAATAGAAAAATTAGCTGGGCATGGTGGTGGGCACCTGTAATCTTGTCTCAAAAAAAAAAAAAAAAAAAAAGGCCGAGAGTGGTAGCTGACACCTGTAATCCCAGGACTTTGGGAGACCAAGGCTGGTGGATCACTTGAGGTCAGGAGTTTGAGATCAGCCAGGCCAATGGGTGAAACCCTGTCTCTACTAAAAATAAAAAAATTAACCAGGTGTGGTGGCAAGAGCCTGCAGTCCCAGCTACTCGGGAGGCTGAGGTGGGAGAATTGCTTGAATCACTTGAATCTGGGAGGCAGAGGTTGTGGTGAGCTGAGATGGCACCACTGCCTTCCAGCCTGGGCAAAAGAGCAAGACTCCATCTCAAAAAAACAAAAATAAAAATAACATTTCTGTATAAATTTTGTAGTATGAAAAATTTCTACAGTGCAAAGCAGTAGAAAATAAGTCTCCTTCCTACTCCATCCTTAGCCACCTGGCTTCTCTCTTCAAACTGATAAATCACTCTTATCCATTTCTTAAGCATCCATCAAGGTTAGTCTATAATTGTTCAAAGATAAGTTTCAGAAAAAGGTAAAATAATAACTCTTATACAGGTATAATATGAACATGTGTTAAAAATTTCATTCTACTGTTTTATCAATGAGAGAAACAGGCAAATGTTAGAATCAAAGAGATGTTAGAATCAAAAGAGAATCTGAAAACAGACACATCTATAGATCAAGAGTATTGAAATGAATACATAAATAAAGGCAAACTGGCTGTTCCATGGGGCGAGGGGCAGGAAGTCAATTAAGCCTCTGTAATAACTCGAAGATGGTGAAAGGCAGACAACGTGAAAGAATATGCTGTTTGTAGAAAAAATTGGTTTCCTCCCAAGTTGATAACCAATCTATTAGGTGTTCAGGTATCTTTCCAGGTTAGTCTCTAACATGCAAACATAAATGTATATATTGTAGGGTTTTGTTTTGTTTTGTTTTTTGAGACAAGCTCTAGCTCTGTCACCCAGGCTGGAGTACAGTGGCACAATTACAGCAGACTGTAGCCTCGACCTCCCAGGATCAAGTGATCCTTTCACCTCAGCCTCTCAAATAGCTGTGACTATAGGCACGTGCCACTATACCTGACTAACTTTTAATTATTTTTTAGAGATGGGGTCTCACCGTGTTGCTCAGGCTGGTCTGGAACTCCTGGCCTCAAGCGATCCTCCTGCCTCGACCTTTCAAAGTGCTGGGATTATAGGTACGAGCCATTGTGCCCAGCTTATGCTGCTGTCTTTAAACACACAAGAATGGTGCCATGCCATATGCAATGTCTGAAAAGCCTTTTACCCCCCCATGTATTAATATATTTCTCGACTTTTTTAGAAAGTCTCTAAGATCCTCTCCAACTCTGTAATTGGGCCTCTTCCAACCCAGACAGAGCTGGGTTGTTTACAGCCAGGCACTGTGCCCCACACTTGTAGTCCCAGCCATTCTGGAGGCTAAGCAGGAGGAATGCTTGAGGCCAGGAGTTCAAGGCTGTAGGGTGCTCTGATTGTGCCTGTGAATAGCTACGGCACTCCAGCCTGGGCAACACAGTGAGACCCCACCTCAAAAAAAAAGAGAAGTTTCTGCCTCATTCAAGCGTGGTAGATGACAACCATTCTCCCCCATGAAGTACCTGAGAGAGACCTGAGCAGCAACCAGGCACTGCCACACCTTCTACGACAGGAGCACATCTATGCCTGCAAAGGCCACAGATGTCATGGAGCCTAAGAAACCATGACCCTGGGTGGGACATGATGGCTCACACCTGTAATCCCAGCACTTTGGGAGGATGAGAGGGGCGGATCACCTGAGGTCAGGAGATCAAGACCAGCTCGACCAACATGGAGAAACCCGATCTCTACTAAAAATACAAGATTCACCAGGCGTGGTGGTGCATGCCTGTAATCCCAGCTACTCGGGAGGCTGAGGAAGGAGAATTGCTTGAACCCAGGAGAGGCAGAAGTTGCAGTGAGCCAAGATCACACCATTGCACTCCAGCCTGGGCAACAAGAGCAAAACGCTGTATCAATCAATCAATCAATCAATAAACCCTGACCCTAAGGAAAGGAAAGAATCAGAGGTAGGAGATGAACAAGTGAAAAGAGACTCTAGAGCACTTGTTACCTTACAAGGCTAAATGGCTAAAAAAACACCCAGGTGATGCTGGCCAGGCCAGGAAAAATAGGAGGTGATGAAGACTGTGGCATACAGGGGTATGCATTCCTGGTGTAGAGGGACAGGATTTTGATCTGTCCTCCAGGCTGGCGTGCAGTGGCACAATCACAGCTCACTGCAGCCTCCAACTTTTGGGCTCAAGCTGTCCTTCTACCTCAGCCTCCCAAGTAGGTAGAAATACAGGCATGTGCCCGGCTAAAATTTTTTTTTTTTTTTTGAGATGCCGTTTTGCTCTTGTTGCCCAAGCTGGAGTGCAATGGTGCCATCTCAGCTCACTGCAACCTCCACCTCCTGGGTTCAAGTGATTCTCCTGCCTCAGCCTCCTGAGTACCGAGGATTACAGGTGCCTGGCACATGCCTGGCTAATTTTTACATTTTTAGTAGAGATGGGGTTTCACCATGTCGTCCAGGCTGGTCTTGAAATCCTGACCTCAGGTGATTCTCCTGCCTCAGCCTCCCAAAGTGCTGGGATTACAGGTGTGAGTCACTGCACCCGGCCATTTTCTTTTTTTTTTTAATTTTGTAGAAACAGGGTTTCCCTATATTGCCCAGGCTAGTCTCAAACTCCTAGCCTCAAGCCATCTCCATCTTCCTGCCTTGGCCTCCCAAAGTGCTGGGAACATAGATAGGCATCAGCCACTATGCCTGGACTGCATTTTTCAAGAGAAGCCAGAAATAAATATTTTCCTTTATTTAAAAAAAATGTTTTTCTTGTTAGGATAGCAAAGAAATAAACATTTTAATGCAAAAATCTTCTGTGTTAAAAAGAGAATATTTATTATTTAATTGGTTATCTTTTTTTTTGAGACAGAGTCTTTGTTTCTCGCTCAGACTGAGTGCAGTGGCACAATCTCTGCTCACAGCAACCTCTGCCTCTCAGGCTCAAGTAATTCTCCTGCCTCAGCCTCCCGAGTAGTTGGAATTACAGGCATGCGTCACTGCTGCCTGGCTAATTTTTGTATTTTTACAGAGATGGGGTTTCACCATGTTGGTCAGGCTGGTCTCAAATTTCTGACCTCAAATAATCCACCCACCTCGGCTTCCCAAAGTGTTGGGATTACAGGCGTGAGCCACCGAGCCTGACCAAAATGTTATCCATTTTTGAAGAGGTAGTTCATTCACATTGTTCCAAAAATTAAAGGAAATAGGCTATAAAGTAAAAACCCCCTCTATGTCCTCCAACCTAGTCACCGAGTTACCCTCTCCAAAGATCATCACTGTCACCAGTATCTTGTATTTTTCCAGAAATGTTCTAAGCTTATGAGGCAAATGTTATTTTCCCTTTATGCACACAGATTATAACATACTTTTCACAGGATACTATATTTTGTCTTTTCCCTATGAAGAGCCTTCTCTATCAATGCATAAACAAGATTCTTCGTTCTTGGTTACAACTGTCTGATATATTTTTTTTAATTTTAAAAAATAGAAGAAATAAAATAAATAGACACAGGGTCTCCCTATGTGGCTCAAGCTGGTCTTGAACTCCTGGGCTCAAGGGATCCTCCTTCCTCAGACTCCCAAAGTGCTGGGATTATCGACTTAAGCCACCATTGGCATGCCTGATATTTCTTTGTATGTATCATTATTTAGCCAGACCCCTTTTGATAGACATAGAGATTGCTTCCAAAGTTTTGCTATAATAAACAAGCCTATATTTGTATTATTTAACACGTTGATAATAAATCTATTGGATAAAATGCCCAGAGGCAAAACTGATAGATCAAAGGAATGCATATTTATAATTTTATTTTATTTTATTTTTGCTTTGTAATTAGTATATTAAGGAGACAATGCATTTCAAGAATTGCTTAAATTCTGATACCCAGATTTAAGCATGTGAACATATGAGACTTTTAAACATACAATTAAAGCTATTCATCATAATTTGCTATACTACCAACATTAGCTACTTTGGAGCGTAAGTCAAATGGTTTAAAGTAATCCTGTAACATACCTAACGAACACCTTCCTATATTACGCATGCAAATTACTTCTCCATGTAAAGGTCTTTTCACTTTAATTTCTATGTTACCCAGTTCTGAAGTCACTACTCGGGCTTATCATGGTCCACAGACAAGGAGGGGGGTAAATAACCAGGACTGGTCAAGATATATATGGAGCTATATATATATATATGGATGGCACAGCAGAAGGAAACAGTTTTGGAAGTGCAAGCCTTCAAGAAGCAGCATATTATGATAAACCCCTCCTACAGAAAGGTATCATTTTTATCACTGATACCACAGGATAAATTATATATTATGCCATCTTCAAGTAACAGTTGAGGCAATAGAATAAATGCAGAGGCATTACAATGATTCCCACTTAATACAAGAACTATGCAGACCAACACTTCTCTACAATTTTCTTGTTGCCAGTTAAGTACAGTTTTACTTTCAGAGCTTAACAATGAAGGGTCATACACTGAAGCCAATACATATACCTAGCATTTCAGTCTAAGCTTGTCCACATACATAGCTGAAGTCAATTACAAGGTTTGGTCTAGCGATGCTAGGGGAACTTCTTTGTAAAGTAGTTTTTACAGGTATTTTGCACGCTGAAGTCATCATACATACAGGGCAAAGTCAGAGCTTTTATAGTTGCCTTTATTCTTCATTTAACTTTTTAAAACACTACTATAGTTGATTAAAACAAAAACAAGAGCAAGTAGTGAGCATATTATGATTACATCCTTACTCATTCACTACTGCACATAAAATGCCAGCAGTGAGTGTTATTCACTGGCCCATTAAGAGGTCTGACACTGAACACCACCTCTGGGGTGATGGTCATCATCCTCATATGCTTCTCCATTGTAATGGTGCCGTCTTTCCTGATTTGGATCAAAGTCCGCCAGTTCTACTTAATCCATCTCATCAGTCTCTTCTATTTCCTTCCTCTCCGGTAGGAGTTTTTCCAGCAAAGACAGTTTATCAGGAGAGAGAAAGCCATTCTCAGGGAAGTTTACCTTAAATTCGATGATTAGGCGACCCTTTTCATATGGTCTACGATAAATTGGCATGCCTTCATTTAGTACACACTTGATATCTCCATGCTTGACAATCTGACCTGGATGAGAGGTGATGACTGTGGTTCGGTTGTCAAGAGTAGATAACGGCTTTTGGAAGCCACACAGTGCTTCAACCAGCTGTATGTCCATATGCATGAAAAGGTCTTCTCCTCGTTGAGTAAAAACAGCATGGTCCTCTGATCTAACACAATGATTATATCTCCTGGCTCATGTCCTGGTTCCTGGTCTCCTTCACCATGGAATGTTACCTTCTGGCCATCTTTCATGCCTTTGTCAATATGAACTTCTAGAATCTTCTTCTCTCGAACTATCGTCCTTCCATTGCAGCTTTTACATCTATCTTTAGGACTGATGTGCTCCCCATGGCCCTGGCGCTCCATGCACACAGACTGAATTTGCCGAACCATTCCAGGTCCTATCAGATGAATTCTTATTTGCATTCCAGTACCTCGGCAATTGGGACAGCACTCTACTGCTCCTTTCTTACCTCCTCTACCTTCGCATTTGTCACAAATCACATTCTTTTGCAGAGCCAGTTTTCTTGTTGCACCATTATATAAGTCTTCTAGGGTTACTGAGGGCTGATGTACAACGTTTTTACCTCTCCTTTCTCTCTGCATCCTTCCTCCTCCTCCAAAAAACATATCAAAGATGTCCATGGGAGAGCCAAAACCGCCACCTGCTCCACCCTCTTTAATTGCCTGTTCTCCTCCTTTGTCATATAATTCCCTTTTCTTTGCGTCAGAGAGAACTTCGTAAGCTTGAGATATCTGTTTAAACGTCTCTCCTTCATTTGGATTCTTATCAGGATGGTACTTCAAGGCCAGTTTCCTATAAGCCTTTTTCAATTCTTCCTGAGTAGCATTGGGTTTGACTCCCAAAACATAGTAAGTGGTTTCTTTCACCGTCTTCTACTGCCTGTGAGAGGGCTGAGGTCGGTGTGTGAGGGAGAGGAAAGGAGCACGGAGCTGTGGGCAGCTCGGTCAGCTACCGCTCCTCCGACTCTCACCCAGCGTTCTGGAAAGTTCCTCCCAGCGCGCTGCAGCCGTCGTCTTTTGTAGCCGAACCCTGGCGCGTCACTCCCATATTTATAATTTTAAAAGATACTGACAATTTACTCATCATAGAGATGGTACACATTTACAGTTTTTTTTTGTTGTTTTTTTGAGACAGAGTCTGGCTCTGTCACCCAGGCTGGGGTGCAGCCGTGCAATCACATTTACATTTCTATCAGTAATATATGAGAGTGACTATTTTCCCATACTCTCCCAAAGATATGCATTCTCAAACTTAAAAAAAAGTTCCTTTTTTTTCTTTCCATGCCTAATGCAGCCATGGCTTATGGTCCCAAGAAGCATCGGAAGCAGCTCCGAAACACTGGATGCTGGATAAATTGACCAGTGTGTTTGCTCCTCGTCCATCCACTGGTTCCCGCAAGTTGAGAGAGTGTCTCCTCCTGATTATTTTCCTAAGGAACAGACTTAAGGATGTCCTGACAGGAGACGATGTAAAGAAGACCTGCAGGCAGCGGTTCATTAACATCGATGGCAGGGTCCGAACTGACATAACCTATTCTGGATTTATGGATGTCATCAGTATTCACAAGACGGGAGAAAATTTCTGTGTGATCTATGACACTAAGGGTCGCTTTGCTGTACATCATGTTACACCTGAGGAGGCCAAGTACAAGTGGTGCAAAGCGAAAAAAAATCTTTGTGGGCACAAAAGGAGTCCCTCATCTGGTGACTCATGATGCTCGCACCATCCGCTACCCTGATCAAGGTGAATGATCCCATTCAGATTGATTCGGAAACTGGCAAGATTACTGATTTCATCAAGTTTGACGCCGAAAACCTGTGTTTGGTGACTAGAGGTGTTAACCTGGGAAGAATTGGTGTGAACTCCAACAGAGAGAGGCACCTGGGATATTTCGACATAGTTCACCTGAAAGTGGCGACAGCTTTGCCACTCAACTTTCCAACATTTTTGTTATTGTCAAGGGCGACAAACCATGGATTTCTCTTCCCAAGGGAAGGGGTATCTGGTATGTAATTTAAAATAACGTGGCATGATTAATTAAAAAATATTTTTGTCAATGTGGTGAAAATGGTACTTTGATGTGATTTTCATGTGTATTTCTCCTATTATGAGCATACTTGATATCTTTTTTTATATTTAGGAACGATTCATGTTTTTTTCATTGAATTATCTTTTATGTGCTTTGTTTTCAGCTAGAGTTGTTGATTTTTTTTGTTTTTTGAGACGGAGTCTTGCTCTGTCACCCAAGCGAGAGTGCAATGGCATGATCATGGCTCACTGCAATCTCTGCCTCCTGGGTTCAAGCGATTCTATTGCCTCAGCCTCCCAAGTAGCTTACAGGCATGCACCTCCACACCTGGTTAATTTTGTATTTTTAGTAGAGACGGGACTTTGCCATGTTGGCCAGGCTGTTCTTAAATGCCTGACCTCAGACATTCCACCAACCCTGGCTTCCCAAGGGCCATTGATATATTTATGCATTTATAGGTGCTCTTCCTATATTAGGGGAATTAATCCTTTGCTTGGAGTGGGTTTAAAATGAGTTTCCTAGTTTGGTTTTTAGGTTGCTTTTTCTTTTTGAGACAGAGTCTCACTCCGTCACCAGGCGCCAGGCTGGAGTGCAGTGGCGCGACCTCAGCTCACTGCAACCTCCGCCTCCTGGGTTCAAGCAATTCTCCTGCCTCAGTCTCCCAAGTAACTGGGACTACAGGCATGCACCACCACACCCAGCTAATTTTTTTTGTATTTTTAGTAGAGACGGGGTTTCACCATGTTGGCCAGGATGGTCTTAATCTCTTGACCTCATGATCCGCCCGCCTCGGCCTCCTAAAGTGCTGGGATTATAGGCATGAGCCACCGCACCCGGCCGCTTTTCTTTTTTTAGAGATGTGGTTTCACTTTGTCACTGAGGCTGGAGTGCAGTGGCATGATCAAGGCTCACTGCAGTCTTAACCTCCCAGGCTCAAATGATCCTCCCAAGTCAGCCTCCAGAATAGCTAGGACTATAGGCATGCACCCCTGGGAAAGGCTAATTTTTTTTTTAAGACGGAGTCTTGCTCTGTCGCCCAGGCTGTAGCACAGTGGCACAATCTCGGCTTACAGCATCCTCCGCTGCCCGGCTTCAAGTGATTCCCCTGCCTCAGCCTCTTGAGTAGCTGGGACTATAGTCGCCTGCCACTACGCCTGGCTAATTTTTTTGTATTTTAGTAGAGACAGGTTTCACCATGTTGGCCAGGATGGTCTCGATCTCCTGACCTCATGATCCGCCTGCCGCAGCCTCTCAAAGTGCTGGGATTACAGACGTCAGCCACTGCACCTGGCCTTTTTTTTTCTTGAGATGGAGTCTCACTCTGTCACCGGGGCTGGAGTGCAGTGGCACGATCTCAGCTCACCGCAACCTCTGCCTCCAAGGTTCAAGCGATTCTCATGCCTCAGCCTTTTGAGTATCTGAGATTACAGATATGTGCCATCACACCCAGCTAGTTTTTGTATTTTTAGTAGAGACAGGGTTTTACTGTGTTGCCCAGGCTGGTCTCAACCTCCTGACCTCAAGTGATCCATTCACCTTGGCCTCCCAAAGTGCTTGAATTACAGGTGTGAGCCACCGCACCCAGCCAAATTTTTTAAATAAATTTTCGGTGGCCCGGTGTGGTGGCTCACACCTGTAATCCCAGCACTTTGGGAGGCCGAGGTGGGTAGATCACAAGGTCAGGAGTTCAAGACGAGCCTGGCCAATATGGTGAAACCCTGTCTCTACTAAAAATACAAAATTAGCTGGAAGTGGTGGCACATGCCCGTAATCCCAGCTACTTGGGAGGCTGAGGCAGGAGAATCGCTTGAACCTGGGAGACAGAGGTTGCAGTGAGCAGATATTGCACCACCGCACTCCAGCCTAGGCGACAGAGCGAGTCTCCATCTCAAAAAAAAAAAAAAATTTTTTTGGTAGAGCTAGGTTTCCAAACATGAGCTGCTATGCCTGGCCAGGTCTCTCATTTTTAAAAACATTGCATTGATGGGGTTCCAGATATCCTACTCTAATATGACCAGAATATGTCATCCCAAAATACACTTCTCTCACGGAAAACTCTCGTGAAGGGAAAAAACAGGGACTCCACTCTGTGTAACAAATCTTACCCATGTTTGTGGTATTTTTCCTGGCCTCCTCGCTTTTCTTCTTTGCCTCAGCAGGCAGGAGTATTTAGGGCACCTCTTGGAGATTTACTCATCTCCCTGAGTATTTCCCACATATTCAGAAGGTGTATATGTTAATAAACTTGTTTGCCTCTTAATTTGTCTTTTGTTACAGGGGCTTGCCCCAACTAAGAATGATGAAGGGCAGAGAAAAAGGTATTTTTGTTCCCCTGTGACATCATAGCTTAAAACACGGGTAAGCCACATAAAGCCTGCAAAATCAGACTCTGAGTCACCAGTTTGCCAAATCGTAGGGAAATGGATGGGAACACCAAGGTAGGGAGGCTATGAACTGCATGGGCCAGAGTCATGCAGCTGTAACCATGGACCTCACCACATCCAGGTTCAGGACAAGGGGATGCTTCTTGAATACCAGCTGTTCCTGATGACAATCCAACAGCGAGGTGGAACTCCTCTGCTCCCACCAAATGGCCCAATTTGGAAACACTCACGAACAAGACTGAGGCTGAGCCTGTGGAGAAGGACCTGCAAAGCAGGAAGTAGACCAGGACCGAGTACCCCTGAGTTCTAACCCATGACCTGGGCAAGGCATTTCCCCTATCTGGGCCCCTGTTTTCTTACCCAACCCAGTGGGATGTGGTGGGGAGTGGTTATATAATACTGTAGTTGACCCTTGAACATGGGTTGAGCCTCACAGGTCCACTTACAGGTAGATTTCCTTCTGCCTCTGCCACTCCTGAGACTACAAGACCAACCCCTCCTCTTCCTCCTCCTCCTGAGCCTACTCAGCATGAAGACAACAAACATGAAAATCATTGTGATGATCCACTTCTCCTTAACAAATAGTAGATATATTTCCTCTTCCCTATGATTTCCTTAATAACATTTTATTTTCTCCAGTTATCTTTAAGAATATAGTATATAATATCTATAACGTACAAAATATATAATATATGTGAATCAACTTGAGGTTCCCAGTGAGGCTTCTGTTCAACAGTAGGCTATCAGTAGTTAAATTCTGGGGCAGTGAGAAGTTAGATGTGAATTTTCAGCTGAGCAGAGGGATCAATGCCCCTAACCCCTGTGTTGTTCAAGCGTCAACTGTAGATGATCTCAAAGCTCCCTTCCAGTTCTGAGATTAAGGGGGGCTAACTGGAATGTCCTGGGAAAGCCAAATTTGAGAACATGTCTATCACTGGGCATTTTGTGGTTAAGGAAAACAACTTACAGGTGCACATCAAGTCTTCCAGGTAAAACCACATTAAGTAGACAGGGCAGAGAGTCTCACCCCTTTTTTTTTTTTGTGATGGAATCTTGCTCTGTCTCCCAGGCTGGACTGCAATGACGTGACCTCTGCTTACTGAAACCTCTGCTTCCCAGGTTCAAGCGATTCTCTTGCCTCAGCCTCCTGTGTAGCTGGGATTACAGGTGCCTGAAACCATGCTCGGCTAATTTTTGCATTTTTAGTAGAGACGGGGTTTCACCATATTGGCCAGGCTAGTCTCGAACTCCTTCCTGACCTCATGATCCACCTGCCTCAGCTTCCCAAAGTGCTGGGATTACAAGGGTAAGCCACCTCGCCCAGCCCTCAGCCTCATTTTTAACATGAAGAACTTAAGGCCCAGACAGATGTGGCAGTTAATAAGCAGGAAGTCAGTAGTTCTGGGTTTAAGTTCCACCTTAGAGAGTGAACAGCTGTGTGACCTTGGGATAGTAGTCACCTGGCCTCGGAATTTCTTCACCTATAAAATGGAGACAAGGCTGGGTACAGTGGCTCATGCCTGGAATCCCAGCACTTTGGGAGGCTGAGGTGGGAGGATCAATCAAGCCCAGGAGTTTGAGACCAGCCTGAGCAACACGCTGAAACTCTGTCTGTATAAAAAATACAAAAATTAGCTAGGCAGGCGTGGTGGTACATGCCTGTAGTCCTAGCTACTTGGGGAGGCTGAGCTGGAAGGATCACTTAAGCCTTCGAGGTTGAGGCTGTGGAGAGTGGTGATCATGTCACTGCACTCCAGCCTGGGTGACAGAATGAGACTCTTTCAAAAAAAAAATCTGGTAACAATAAAAGAACCTATTTTAGGAAGTCAGAGAGAAAATTAAGCAAGCAGTATTGAATGGATCAATTATGACACCGCATGTCAAGCACTTAGTAGAACATCTGTGTCCCTCAAAATTCACATCTTGAAGCTGTAACCTCCAGTGTGGTTGTCTGGACATGGCACCTCTAAAGAGTACTTAGGATTAAATGAAGTCGTGAGGGTGAGACCCTAATCTGACAGAATTCATGTCCATATGAGAAGAGACACTGGAGAGCTCACTTTCTCTAATACCCACATTGCCTGCACAAGCACCCGAGGAAAGGCCATGTGAGGACACAGCAAGAAGGCAGCCGTCCGCAAGCTGGAAGAGAGCCCTCATCAGAAATCGAATCATCTGGAATCGTAATCTTGGACTTCCAGCCTCCAGAACTGTGAGAAAGTAAATCCTGTTGTTAAAGCTATTTGGCCAGTGGTACTTTGTGATATCAGCCCAAGCTGCTACTACACCCTTGCACATCCAATATACATTAGTTATTGTTGTTATCTGTTACTACTGCTACTTATCATGTCCAAAGTCTCACAACAAGGAAGCCAGCGAATGGCTGAGCCCAGCTGAGGAAGCGGGGTCCTTGACTCACCAGGTCACCTTCCTGCTCTTGTGGCAGGAATGTCCCCAGCCCCTATCCTGGGACCCCCTGTCTCGATGACTGCCTCTATCCATCCCTCCACTTTAATCACAAGGGCAGGGCTCATGGTGCAGGAGGGGTGTGTGTGTGTGTGTGCGCGCACGCGTGCGTGCATGCATGTGTGTGTGTGTGTGTGTGTGTATATGAGACCCCCAGGGGAACTGGGGGTGTGGGGTAAGCAGGAGGAAGTACCTTCCCTGATCAAAAGAAGCAGGAAATTCTCTTCTGTCTCTGGTTCCTGGGAACTTCTTTAAGCTCTAGGAAGATGGGGAGGGGTGGGGTAGTTCTGAGATTAACCCTCCCTGCTCCAAATACGAACAAGCCCAGGGAATGGGCATGAAAGGAAATCAACCGATCCTTCCTGGTCCAAATTCTCCCCTCGAAGATGCACTGAAGAAGGCTGTTGGAGACATCTGAATAACCTGAACCTCTTTTTTGGTTTGGTTGTTTTTTGTGATGGGAGTTTCGCTCTTGTTGCCCAGGCTAAAGTGCAATGGCACAATCTCAGCTCACTGCAACCTCCACCTCCCACGTTCAAGTGATTCTCCTGCCTCAGCCTCCCAAGTAGCTGGGACTATAGGCATGCGCCACCACGCCCTGCTAATTTTGTATTTTTCATAAAGACAGGGTTTCTCCATGTTGCCCAGTCTGCTCTCAAATTCCCAAACTCAGGTGATCCTACCACCTTGGCCTCCCAAAATGCTGGGATTACAGGCGTGAGTCACCGCCCCCGGCAACTTGAACCTCTTGCCCAGAACTCTAGAGGCATTATAAATAGGTAACATACTTTCGCATCTACAAGGTGTCCCCTTGCATACACCATCTCATTTTATCCTCATAAGAGACTGGCAAACCTTACAGTTGGCAGAGCTGAGTCTTGGAAGAGACATACCTCATATGTGCACATCACTTAAGAGGCCTTCCTCCAACCACCTTTTGTGATCACACAGATGTGTGTCTCTTCTTCTCAATGGTGAAGATAGAGCCAGCCTAACCCGTGCCTGAGTGCCACAGAGTGCCCCATACACCTTGTATAAGTAGGTGTTCAATAAATTTTGTAGATAGATGAGTAACTGCCAGTGACCAGATCAGAGAGAAGTAAAACAGGGTCTCCTATTGGGGAAGATAGTGTTGCACTGTTCTAAGGGAGCAAGCTCAGGCATCTCTGTTCCTATAGCCTGGTACATTCACTCCTGGGCAGGCACCTGACATCATTTTAACACTTATTTATTTATTTTTCTTTTTTGAGATGGAGTCTTGCTCTGTTGCCCAGGGTAGGGTGCAGCAGTGGGATCTCGGCTCACCACAACCTCTGCCTCCCAGGTTCAAGTGATTCTCCTGCCTCAGCCTCCTGAGTAGCTGGGACTACAGGCACATGCCACCATCCTTGGCTAATTTTTGGTATTTTTAGTAGAGGTGGGGCTTCACTATGTTGGCCAGGCTGGTCTCGATCTCCTGACCTCGTGATCCACCCACCTCAACCTCCCAAAGTCCTGGGATTTTGGGATGAGCCACCATGCCCAGCCCATTTTAATATTTACTGTGTTATCATTATTATGACTGTCACTTATTGTCCACCATTCAAAGTTAAGTTCTTTGTAAATATCCACTCATTATTCCTCACATGCACTATTATGAGCCCCATTTAACAGATGAGAAAATGGAGGCCCAGACAGGTCAAGTAGTTTGCCCAAGGTTATTTAGCCAAGAATAGTGGAGCTGGGATTCAAACTTGATTGTTTATATCTTGGACTTAGAATTTTCAAACTTCCTCCATTTCCCTCAGCTTAGCCTCACAATGGTCCTGGGAAGCAGACACCCACCCAAAGCCATACTGCACATGGGGGCAAATGTGGAACTAGAACCCAGATATCCCTGGGGCTTGTTCTGACACACAGAGGTCTGCATTGTGAAAGGACATGAAAATCACACCTGTGGGCTGCCCCACTGTGTGTGGGCTTAGAACCCAGCTATTTCCACTACTGTGAATTTGCCTCAGGATACAGCGTTTCTGTAAGAAAAAAAAGAGCTACAGAGCGTGGACAGAGGCGTTTGCTCCTGTTTCTGTAGACACTACCCCCTTTGCTCATGCTGTTCCTTCTTGTTAGGACATCTTCATCCCACGCTCTTACTCTCGCTGACTCATCATGTTTCACAATACGCTTGGATTTTTCTCTCTTTCGGGAAATGTCTGCCCCTCTCTGAAGGGAGATTAAGTGATCTTCCTCATATTCCCGGAGTACGAGGTGATTCTCCACATCATTATCATTAAAAATCAGGAGCTGCATTCTCTCCCTCTGGCCCAGTAGTCTGAGAGCTCCTCAGGGGCGGGGACTCCCCTTTTTCATCCTGGTGTTTTCTGCTGGCAACGCCTGCCCCCAAGTAGTAAGTGCTGGTTTTTTCGTGTGTGTGTGTGTGTGTGTGTGTGTGTGTGTGTGTGTGTGTTTGGTTTTCTTGAGACAGAGTCTGGCTCTGTCGCCGGTCTGGGGTGCAATGGATTGATCTCGGCTCACTGCAACCTCCGCCTCACAGGTTCAAGTGATTCTCCTGCCTCAGCCTCCGGAGTAGATGGGACTATAGGCGCATACCACCACACCCAGCTAATTTTTTTTTTTTTTGAGACTGATTTTCTCTCTTGTTACCCAGGCTGGAGTGCAATGGCGCCATCTCGGCTCACCGCAACCTCTGCCTCCTGGGTTCAGGCAATTCTCCTGCCTCAGCCTCCTGAGTAGCTGGGATTACAGGCACGTGCCACCATGCCCAGCTAATTTTTTGTATTTTTTTTAAGTAGAGACGGGGTTTCACCATGTTGACCAGGATGGTCTCGATATGTTGACTTCATGATCCACCCGCCTCGGCCTCCCAAAGTGCTGGGATTACAGGCGTGAGCCACCGCGCCCAGCCTGTATTTTTAGTAGAGATGGGGTTTCACCCTATTGGTCAGGCTGGTCTTGATTTCCTGACCTCGTGATCTGCCGGCCTCTGCCTCCCAAAGTGCTGGGATGTAAGTGCTTGTTGACTGAGACTACTGATCAGAGGCAGGTGTGAATGTCTTTGTTCCCTCATCTCTACCCCTGTTCAGAGGTTACAGACAGTGTCCTATTCATTTCTGGCATATAGGAGATGCTGTTAAAGTTTATTGAATTGAATGAAACACAATTAATTGATCTGCAAAATCACTGGGAATCAAAATACTTATTTTAAAACTATGGGCCGGGCACGGTGGCTCACGTCTGCAATCCCAACACTTTGGGAGGCCGAGCTGGGCGAATTACTTGAAACCACGAGTTCGAGATTCTGTCTCTACTAAAAATACACAAATGAGCCGGTCGTTGGGGTGCGGGTCTGTAAATCTCAGCTACTCAGGAGGTTGCCTAGAGAACAGCTTGAGCCGGAAGGCGAAGGCAGCAGTAGCCGATATTGCCACCGAACTCCAGTCAGGGCGGCAGTGAGACTCTGTCAGAATCAACAAAAACAAAAACTGGGGCGCGGTGGCTCACGCGTGTAATCCTAGCATTTTGGGAGGCCGAGGCGGGCGGATCGCGAGGTCAGGAGTTCGAGACCAGCTTGACCAACATGGTTAAACCCCGTCTCTACTAAAAATACAAAAAACAAACAACAACAACAAAACTGTGAGTTGCTGAGATCACAAACCGGTGCTCAAAATCTACTGATTTCCCTTCTCCTCTCGACTAAAGTTGGGTGGGGAAGGGGAAGGAGGGAGGGATTGGCCCTCCCAACAAGTCTCATCTTCCCCAGATGCTGCTTGGTGCTCAGGGGCTGCAAGTACTCCGTCCTTGCCCAGAGGGGTGGGGACTCCAGCGATGCATGGGGGCATACGCTAGGCCCACAGCTTGTAATGGACCAGCAGTAGTAAAATAAGGGAGGAGGAGCAGACTCTCTTGGAGAGGAGCCTCCGGAGTCCGTCTAGGGGCATCTCCCACCAACCGTTTCCCAAACCAGCATACAGTAGGCACTTAGTGAATACTAAGCCTAGTAAAGGACTGAACGACGGTCGACCGAACCCCCAGAGCAAAAGAGAAAGGGTCTAACAGCGCCTCCTTGCGGTGCTCTTCTCCAAGCCACGGGGAGAAACGTTGCGGCCCGCGCGCAACGCCAGACAGCACAAAGGATCCGGGACAGCGGGGGAGCGGCTCGGAGGGCACGGGTCTACGCCGTCCACCACGCAGTTTCGGAGATGGAGCGCTGGGCCCACGGAGGGAAGGCTGCAGGCTCGGGGGCTGCGGAAGCTCGCTGGGGCAGGGGCTCAGGGCGGTGGTCTAATGGTTGAGGCCGCCGAGAACTGTCACGGAGCTGCGTTTGCACAGCAAGCATCCTTTATTTACTCAGGGCGAGCGTGTATGTGGGGCGGCGCGCGGAGGGCTGACAGAGAGCGGACAGCTTCCAACCGAGGGGACCGGAACCCGGATGAGCGCCCCCCAGCGCCCCTGCACGCTCGCGGCCGGTGCACGCGCCCCCTCAGGACTCACGGTCCGCAGAGCCGCGCGCCCGGAGGCCCGCCCCCGTCTCCCCACAAAGACCGTGAGTCCCGGGTCCGAGACCTCCACGCGGGGATCGGGCGGGTGCCCGGCGGGTTGTCCCTTGGCGGCCTCCTGGCCTCGCCCGAGCGGGTGCGGGGAGGTCCCGCACCGACGCGGGAGGAGGGGTGGGCGGGGCTGCCGGGGGTGGGGTCCTCGGGGCGGGGTGGGGCGGGGTGGGGCGGGGCGCGCGGTGTCGCGGGTCGGGACTCGGTCCTGCTGGAGGCCGCTGGTGCCACACACTCGGTCCCGAGATGACGGCGAGCGTGCGAGTGGCGAAGGTAATCGCTCGTAGGGTGACCCTTTTCTCTTGGCTCCCCTTGCCGCCCCCCGCCCCCCCCCCCCCCCGCGTATTCCCGCCTCCCTCCATCCCCTCCGCGGTTCTCCGAGCTCATTTATTTATTTGTCTGGGCACCTGCGCTGGCCGAATCCCTGTCCTCCCCGCCCTCTACTCAGAGGAGGAGTCTGGCCTGCACGAGTGGCCAGAGCTGGAGTTTTGGGGGCTTGGAGGGCCCATGGGGAGGGGATGTTGCTGGCCCGTTGACCTGTATGCGTGGTGAGGATGAGCCGGCTCCCACCAAACTGGTTTCAATTTCGATTTTCCTGCCTGAAACTTGTGATAAGGATGGAGTGCGGCTCCAGTGCTGGAAGCGTTCTTGGCGTCTTGGTGCCAGGCATTCTGCTACTGCTGGGTGGGTTATGAACACGAATGACCAGGATGAAGTCCTTGCCTTGGAATAAGCCATGGCCCATCCCACAATTTGATGCCTGCATTACTAGAGTACTGAGAAACAGGGAATGCTGATTAGAATTTGGGGCAAAGTTCCCTGGGTATTCTCTGGAGGAAAAGATGCGGAGGCGGACCTGGAAGGCCTCCTGGAGTAGGTGGCTTGTATTAGTGAGTTCTGCCAGTGTCGAATGCCTATATGTGCTGGCCCGGTTCTAGGAGGTGGGGGTGGGGCGGGCAGAGATGAACACAAATCCAGTCCTTGTTGAATTTTATTCCGATCAGGGACACAATTTGAAACAAGACCTGGAAGGATGGGGAGGGGGCAGTTTCCTCCAGAAGCTGGAAAAACCCAGGGTGCTACCCTCAGCCTCTGAGAAGAAAATGGCCTCAGACTGCGACACCCAGAGCAGGCTTGGCCCAGAACCTAAATCTGGAGGTTGGCAGCAAAATGAGGCAGAGGGTCTTTCCAGCCGAGTGGGAGAGAGATGGGAGCCAGAATTTATTGCACTGGAACCGTTGAATGCCAAACAGTTTACGCAGTTACTTCATTTAATTCTCACAGCAGTTCTGTGAGATAAGTAATATACACCCGCGTTTTACAAATGAGGAAATTGGGGCGCAGAGAAAATAACTTGGTTGTCCAGAGTCTTTCAGTAAGGAGCAGTGGGACTGCTATATGAAGCCAGGTCTGCAGGCCCTTTTAATGGCCTCTCTACTTTCATTTTCTGTTCTTCTGAGTCAGGTGATTTCCTAATAGGCAGTAGGAAAGAACTGTGTTTTAAGTTGGGTTTCAACTTCCTCAGGCTTTGGGAACGTTTTGGCAGAACTCACCCTAAATGGATAAAGTCCAAGGGTGCCCAGTTATAGTCAAGTCAGGAAAATGTCTATTCCAGATCTTCTCTGGTCAACCTGGGGCTTCGTTCTTGCCAAAGAATCACAGATGATAGTGAAACTCTTCCGAAATGCAGATGCTTCTAGTTTGGGGTAAAGATAAATGAGGAATAAAGATAAATGGGGTAAAGATAAATAGAACCTGGGTGGAAGGCACCAGAAGCAGCTTATTGGTTGAACGGCGATGGAACACAGATTAGAGAGAGGAGGGGGGCATGGGATGTGTTTAATATTATATATTGGGCGGAAGGCAGAGAAATTTCAAGAGTTCTACAGTGTTCAAAGATCATGTATCCGTTGTATGTTTTTAGATTTGAGGTTACTGGAGGTTTTCAAACAGTATCTTATAACCTGTTATTTTATTTTATTTTTATAAAGATGGGTTTCACCATGATGACCAGGCTGGTCTTGAATTCCTGACCTCAGGTGATCCACCCACCTTGGCCTCCCAAAGTGCTGGGGTGCTGGGATTACAGGCATGAGCCACCGTGCCCAGCACAGATGATTTTTTATTGCTCATTAGCTTTTTTTTTCTTTTTTGATTGAACAGCTGCTTTTTAGCATTTCTTAATAGGACTGGTCTGGTGTTGATGACATCTCTCAGCTTTTGTTTGTCTGGGAATGTATTTCTCCTTCATGTTTGAAGGATATTTTCTTCCTTTTTTTTTAGAGATGGGATTTCACCATGTTGGTCAGGAGGCTGGTCTTGAACTCCTGACCTTGTGATCTGCCCACCTCGGCCTCCTAAAGTACTGGGATTATAGGCGTGAGCCACAGTGCCCAGCCTTGAAGGATATTTTCACTGGATATACTATTCTAGTGTAAAAGATTTTTTCCATCAGCCATAATTCATTTAAATATGTCATACCACTCTTTCCTGGCCTGTAAGATTTCCACTGAAAAGTCTGCTGTCAGACATAGTGGAGCTCCATTATATATTATTTGTTTATTTTCTCTTGCTGCTGTTGGGACCCTTTCTTTGTCCCTGACCTCTGGGCGTTTGATTATTAAATGCCTTGAGGTAGTCTTCTTTGGGTTAAGTCTACCTGGTGTTTTATAACCTTCTCATATTTGCATATTGGTATCTTTCTCTAGATTTGGGAAGTTCTCTGTTACTATCCCTTTGAATAAACTTTCTAGCCCTGTCTCTCTCCCCACCTCCTACTTAATGCCGATAACTATTAGATTTGCCCTTTTGGGGCTATTTTCTAGATCCTGTAGGCATAGTTCATTCTTTTATTATTTTGTTTTATCTGTTTTCAAATACTCTGTCTTCAAGCTCTCTAATTCTTCTGCTTGATCAATTCTGCTATTAAAAGACTCTGATGCATTCTTCAGTATGTCAATTGCATTTTTTTTTTAAGACGGAGTTTTGCTCTTGTTGCCCAGGCTGGAGTGCAGTGGTACGATCTCAGCTCACTGTAACCTCCGCCTCCCAGGTTCAAGAGATTCCCCTGCCTCAGCCTCCTAAGTAGCTGGGATTATAGGCATGAGCCACTAAGCCTAATTTTTGTATTTTTAGTAGAGATGGGGTTTCACCATGTTGGCCAGGCTGATCTCAAACTCCTGACCTCAGGTGATCCACCCACCTCAGCCTCCCAAAATGCTGGTATTACAGGCATGACCCACTGTGCCCGGCCTCAATTGCAATTTTCAACTCCAGAATTTCTGCTTGATTCTTTTTAACTATTTCAATTTCTTTGTGAAATTTGTTGATGGGATTTTGAACTCCTCTGTGGAGGAAATATTGAATTTCTTTGAGTTTCCTCAAAACAGCTATTTTGAATTCTCTGTCTGAAAGATCACATATCTCTGTTTCTGTGGAACTGGCCCCTTGTACCTCACTTAGTTTATTTGGTGAGGCTGTGTTTTCCTGGGTCGTCTTGAAGCTTGTGGATGTTTGTTAGTGTCTGGGCACTGAGGAGTTAGGTATTTATTACAGTCCGTAGTCTGGGCTTCTTTGTACTCAACCTTCTTGGAAAGTCTTTCTAGGTATTCGAAGAGGGTTGGGTGTTGTGATCTAAGTTTTGGTCATCGCAGCCATGTCTACACTGGGGGGACTCCAAGCCTGGTAACACTGCAGTTCTTGCAGATTCTTAGAGGGTACTCTTGGTGGTTTTGGATAAAATTAGGAAGAATTCTCTGGATTATCAGGCAGAGACTCTTGTTTTCTTCCCTTCCTTTCTCACAAACAAATGCAGTCTTTTTTTTTTTTTTTGAGACAGAGTTTCACTCTTGTTACCCAGGCTGGAGTGCAATGGCGCAATCTCGGCTCACCGCAACCTCTGCCTCCTGGGTTCAGGCAATTCTCCTGCCTCAGCCTCCTGAGTAGCTGGGATTACAGGCACGCGCCACCACGCCCAGCTAATTTTTTTTGTATTTTTAGTAGAGACAGGGTTTCACCATGTTGACCAGGATGGTCTCGATCTCTTGACCTCGTGATCCACCCGCCTCGGCCTCCCAAAGTGCTGGGATTACAGGCATAAGCCACCGCGCCCGGCCAACAAATGGAGTCTTACTGTCTTTGCTGAGTTCCCCGGAGTTGGGTGAGGTGACATAAGCATCCTTACGGTCACCAGAACTGGGAGTGCACTGGATCAGGCCTGAAGCCGGCACCACACTGGGTCTTGCCCAAGGGCTCCTGTAATCACTACCTGGCTATGCCCTGTGTTCACTCAAGGCCCTAGGGCTCTACAATCAGCAGGTGGTGAAGCCAGCCAGGCTTGTGTCCTTCCCTTTAAGGTGGTTAGTTTGCTGCCGGGCCCCACACAGGTCCAGAGTTGCTGTCCACGGGCTAGGGCCTGGAGTTTGAAATTTTAGAAATCTACCTGGTGCTCTGTTCTACTGCAGCTAAGCTGGCACTGAAACCGCAAGACAGAGTCCTTCCCACTCTTCCCTCCCCTTTCCCCAGACATAGGCGTCTCTCCCCGTGTCTGCCACCACCACGGTGGCAGTACTCTATGAAGAGTACTGCCAGGGTACTGCTGATGTTCACCCAAGGCCCAAAGCCCCTTCAGTCAGCTTGTGGGGAATGTGACCGGGCCTGAGGCTCACCCTTCAGGGCAGCAGTCTCCCCTCTTGTTGGACCAGATAATTCTTTGTTAGGATGTTTATTAGCATCTCTGTCCTCTACCCACTAGATGCCAGTAGCACTCCCCCAGTTTGTGACAATGGAAAAATGTTCCTGGATATTACCAGGTGTCCCTGGTTGGGAAAAATTGCCCCTCCCTGGTTGAGAAGCACTAGTTTGTACCAATTCACTGTTCCAGAGAAATGTGACCTGCCCTTGAGAGTCTTTGTATCTTCCCCAACAAGAAAAGGCCTGCAGTCCCACAAGATGGACCCTAAAAGATGGGCAGCATTCCTTCATCAAATACAGTTGAGAAGTACTGCATGCTGTGGGCTCACATCTTGGGCAATCTCCATACATAATAACATATTAAAGGCTCTGGGAGGCCGGGCGCAGTGGCTCACACCTGTAATCCCAGCACTTTGGGAGGCTAAGGAGGGCAGATTATGAGGTCAAAAGATTGAGACTATCCTGGCCAACATGGTGAAACCCCCTCTCTACTAAAAAGTACAAAAATTGGCTGGGCATGGTGGCTCATGCCTATAATTCTAGCACTTTGGGAGGCTGAGGTGGGCGGATCACCTGAGGTCAGGAATTCAAGACCAGCCTGGCCAACATGGTGCAACTCCCTCTCTACTAAAAAGTACAAAAATTGGCTGGGCATGGTGGCTCATGCCTATAATTCCAGCACTTTGGGAGGCTGAGGTGGGCGGATCACCTGAGGTCAGGAATTCAAGACCAGCCTGGCCAACATGGTGAAACCCCATCTCTACTAAAATTATAAAGAATTAGCCGGGCATGGTGGCGGGTGCCTGTAATCCCAGCTACTTGGGAGACTGAGGCAGGAGAATCACTTGAACCTGGGAGGAGGAGATTTCAATGAACCGAAATTGTGCCATTGCACTCCAGCCTGGCGACAGAGTAAGACTCCAAAATAAGTAAATAAATAAAAAGTGGTAAAAGGCTCTGGGAAGTCCTACAGTGAAGAAACATCTTTAGGTTAGATTTCCCAAATGTGCTTGACCTTGGAATGCTTTTCCTGTACTACCTATTAACCTCCTGCAGGACATACTGTACACATTTGCCCCATCTGGGTCCTCTGCCCTGGTGCCTCTCCCCTTCTCTGCATTATGGACTCCTATTCATTGTACATGGCCCAGCTCACAGTGTGCACCCTCTGTGAAGCCTTCCTTCTCCCCTCTCATCTCCTTCACTACTGTATGTCTATACATGTTCATATAATCACATTCATGTTTTGTCCATTACTCTACTGAAATTCCTGAGGACTAGGTCCTATCTCAGTTAAATGTGGGTAGAGGATGCTCAGTAATGGCTGTTGGGAGAATTCAAGGATGTTCAGGTGCTTGGGCTGTAGTTCTGGGAAGGTGAGTCACTTCTCGCCCCCTTGTTTCTCTGCTTGGTGTGTAGAGTTCTCCGCTGTGGTCTGCCAGAGTCATTTCCCTTCTCCAGCCCTGGTCCAGCCGAGTTTGAAGGGGTGGGTGATGGCTTTGCTATAGATGCTCCGTGGATACTCATGGAAGGAAGAAAGGAAGAGAGGAAGGGAATGAGAACTTAGTGACTTTCTGGGAAGAAAGCCAGAGAGCAGACAGAGGTTAAGTACCCTGCTTTCAGGAGAAAAGCCCCCTCAGAGCACTTACTCCCAAGTTTTAATATCTGGGAGAAGTGATCTGCTTTTCCCTGCCCCTAGTACCTACGTGTAGCAGAGCTTGTGGTGAGTCCACAACCAGAGAATTTACTTAAAGCACCAGCACCACACCCGATACATACTAAGTGCTCACTAAATGTAGGCTCTGACTTGACTAGCTTCTGTTTCTAGGATGTCCAGTTTTGGACTTGGGACAGCTTGCTGCTGGGGCAGGGGGAGGGGACTGAAATGGGAAGGACTAGGCCAACTGCCCACTCACTTGTACCCCCTACAGGAGCTGGAGGATCTTCAGAGCGAGCCTCCTCCGTACCTGCGGAACCTGTCCAGCGATGATGCCAATGTTCTGGTGTGGCATGCTCTCCTCCTACCTGTGAGTATCCGTGGGGATCATGGCTTTGGATTGGGGACAACTTAGGTGAGGGGCATGGGCAGGGAGGGGTAGGACCGGGCAAGAGTTTTCCCTGCCTTAGGGTCCTTTGACCGGAGGTTATCATTGCTGGAGGGGCCTCTCTCTGAATTGATTGCTTCTGAGGTTCATCTTCTGATGAAGATGCTAAAGGACTTTTCGACTTAGTAGGAGACTCCCCTTCCTCAAACCAGTGGCCACCAAGCTCACCACAGAACTTGAGGAGACAAGCAGCATTAAAAAGAAGAAGTAAAGATATTTTGGACCTTTGTCAAGGGGTCAGGGTAGGCTTGCAGGCTCCCACTGTTGGTAGAATTTGCTCCCACAAACCTAAATTGTATTTTGCTTTTCTTTATTCTTATTTCAGAAACCTGTTACCTATGAAAACACAAATAGCCCATTTCTACTGTTCTTATTTTTCTCTGTTTATTATTCGGTATTTTCTTTTTTTGTTTTGTTTTGTTTTTGAGATGGAGTCTCGCTCTGTCACCCAGGCTGGAGTGCTGTGGCATGATCTCGGCTCACTGCAACCTCTGCCTCCCAGGTTCAAGCGATTCTCCTGCCTCAGCCTCCTGAGTAGCTGGGATTACAGGTGCCCACCACCATGTCTGGCTAATTTTCGTATTTTTAGTAGAGATGAGGTTTCACCATGTTGGCTAGGCTGGTCTCGAACTCCTGACCTCAGGTAATCCACCTGCTTCAGCCTCGCAAAGTGTTGGGATTACAGGCGTGAGCCACTGCGCCCAGACTATTTGGTATTTCTTGATAAAGTCTCTCTGAAAGCAGTATTCCAAAATACCTATCAGAGTGCAAGATCTTACTTTCATTTGATTATTCATGACTAAAGCTACTTTAATAAGTTAATCTACACTTTTGGTTACTTGGAAATAAAATTTAAGACATTGAACTTTTTGTTAGTCAGAGCTCTTTGGAATATCATGGGAACAGTTCATCTTATTATTTAGGATTTGGACCTTTTTTTTTCTTTTTGAGACAGAGTCTCGCTGCGTCACCCAGGCTGGAGTGCAGTGGCATGGTGTCGGCTCCCTGCAACCTCCACCTCCTGGGTTCAAGCGATTCTCTTGCCTCAGCCTCCTGAGTAGCTGTGACTACAGGTATGTGCACCACCATGCCTGGCTAACTTTTGCATTTTTAGTGGAGACAGGGTTTTGCCATGCTGGCCAGGCTGGTCTTGACCTCCTGGCCTCAAGTAATCCACCTGCCTCGGCCTCCCAAAGTGCTGGGATTACAGGCGTGAGCCACCACACTCAGCAGGATTTATACTTTTTACTGACAATGCAGTGTCCTAGGTTGTGTTATCTTCTCTTTAAACTGACCCGTAATCCAGAAAAATGGACAAAAGCTTGAGTCAGGTCAACATGGGAACCTCTGTCAGGTCTCTTGGGTTACTATATCGAAATGATTCCCCTTACCTGGCTTAGAGTGAGGACACCTGTTCTAGGCCTCAGGTGCCAGGAGAAGATGCTCAAAGGAGGGCCAGGGACTGATCATATCTCCAAGGAGACCAGCTTTAAGATGATGAAAGTGAAGCGGGGATGATAGGAAAACCTAGGAAAGGTCTCGTTTGGCAGAATTCTTTAAAATCAGAAGACCTCAATGGCTGGCAAGACCAAGGTGGCTAAGTGTGCCCCAGACACTGGCCACAGATTTTCCAGCCACATGGGGGTCCTGAAGAAGCATGATAGTTGGGAAGAATTCCTGAGCTGGAGGACCAAAGTTAATGTAAGTCATCAGCTATGGGGGCCTAAAGGCGCCTGGTGAGGCAGAGCCAGGAAAGGTCTTTGGGAATAGCAGACAAATTCCCCCTCAAAGGCTTGGTCTCAATTTATGTGTTCATCAAAGTGGCCCCACTTGTCATATCTTGGTCATAGAAGGTTTCAGCTTGGTTAGTTTTTTTTTTTTTTTTGATACAGAGTCTTGCTCTGTCACCCAGGCTGGAGTACAATGGAGCAATCTCAACTCACTGCAACCTCCATCTCCCAGGTTCAAGCAATTCTCCTGCCTCAGCCTCCCGAGTAGCTGGGACTATAGGTGCCCACCACCATGCCCAGCTAACTTTTGTATTTTTAGTAGAGACAGGGTTTCACCATATTGGCCAGGCTGGTTTCAAACTCGTAACCTTGTGATCTGCCTGCCTTTGCCTCGGAAGTGCTGGGATTACAGGCATGAGCCACCGTGCCCAGCCTCGATGTTGAAGCTAATAGTAAGGGTTCTCATTCCCTGAGAGTCTCCTGTGGACCAAGTGCTGTTTTATCCTCTCAACCATCCATTGAGGAAGGTTTTCTTTCTCTGAAAATTGCAGAGATGGAAACCAAGGAGGTTAAGTAACTGGTCTGTGTTTACTCAGAATAAAGTAGTAGGAGTGGAATTCAGCGGACTCCAGGGTCTTCTCTCTTAACCACTCCATGAAAAATGAATAGTTTTCAAAATTTTTTTTAAAAAGTAGCAGGCGGAGCACAGTGGCTTACGCCTGAAATCCCAGCACTTTGAGAGACTGAGGTGGGTGGATCACCGGAGGTCAGGAGTTTGAGACCAGCCTGGCCAAAACTCTTTTTCTTTAGTAGAGACAGCAACCCTGTCTCTACTAAAAATACAAAAATTAGCTGTGCGTGGTTGTGGGCTCCTGTAATCCCAGCTACTCAGGAACCTGAGGCACAAAAATTGCTTGAACCTGGGAGGCAGAGGTTGCAGTGAGCCGAGATTGCATCATTGCACTCAAGTCTGGGTGACAAGAGTGAAACTCTCTCTCAAAAAAAAAAAAAAAAGGAGCAAAATACCTTATTTAACCTAGTACTTAGAAGGTAGTAGGACTTTCTCAAGTGACAGTAAGACACAGTATGGAATCCTCTGGTCCAACTTCTCCATTTTACAAATGAGGCAACTGATCCTCAGAGAAAGCTCAGTCATACAGCAAGTCCGAGGCAGAGCTGGGACAGGTCCCCAGAGCTCTCAGCTCCAGGACTCTGCTACCTCCTTCCTCTGTTAAGACCTACAAAGCCCAGAAAGAAGCCCCTTCAGACAGGATACACCTACACCCTCTCTTAGTCTGTTTGTGTTGCTGTAAAGGAATACCTGAGGCTGCGTAATATACAGAGAAAAGAGGTTTATTTGGCTCAAGCTTCTGCAGGCTGTACAAGAAGCGTGGCACCAGTATCTGCTTCTGGTGAGGCCTCGGGCCTCAGGAAGCTTCCACTCATGGTGGAAGGCAAAGGGGAGCTGCGTATACAGATCACATGGCAAGAGAAGTGAGAGAGAGAGAGAGAGAGAGAGAGAGAGAGAGAGAGAGAGAGAGAGAGAGAGAGAAGAGAGAAGAGAGGGCAGGTGCCAGGACGTTGTAAACAACCAGCTCTCTCGGGAAGTATTAGAGTAAGAACTGTCTTATTACTGTGTGGATGGCACTGAGCCATTCATGAGAGACCTGCCCCCATGACCCATACACCTCCCACAAAGCCTCACCTCCAACACTCGGATCAGATTTCTTTTCTCTTCTTTTTTTCTTTTCTTTTCTTTTCTTTTCTTTTCTTTGAGACAGAGTCTTGCTCTGGAGCGGAGAGCAAGACTCATTGCAACCTCTGCCTCCTGGTTTCAAGCAATTCTCCTGCCTCAGCCTTCTGGGTAGCTGGGACTACAGGTGCACACTACCATGCCTTGTTAATTTTTTGTATTTTAGTAGAGACAGGGTTTCATCATGTTGCCCAGGTTGATCTTGAACTCCTGAGCTCAGGTAATCCGCCTGTGTCGGCCTCCCAAAGTGCTAAGATTGCAGGCCTCAGCCACCGCACCGGCCTTGGGGAGCAAGTTTCATGAAATCTGAACATGAGGTTTGCAGAGGCAAACATCCAACCACAGCACCTTCCCATCCTCCTCTGAGGCTGCAGCCCTTGGCCTTCTCCGACTGACAAGTCCAGCACTGTCTTCTTATTTTCTTACTGAGACCATAAGAGCTGAGATATTTTCTTTATCTTCCTACGAGTTACTCCATCTCTTATCTCAACGTGCTCAAGATCACCGTGGTTTCTATTTTGCCCATTAAGGAGGAGGAGCTCTGAAAATCTTGACTCCGCTTAACCACATAGGCCATTCTTGCTGTCTTTTGCTCTGTCCTTTCAATAACAAAAGCTCTGAAAAGATTTGGTAATTTGGAATCAGCCTGAAGGCACCTGTGTTCTGCACTGGGGTCACCCAAGTTCTGGGGTTTCTCCCTCCTGGGGAGGTGGCTCACGCCTGTAATCCCAGCACTTTGTTTAGCTTATTTCCCTCAGTACAGTGTCTTCAAGCTTCATCCATGTTGTAGCATTCATCAGAATTTCATTCCTTTTAAAGCCAATAGTATTCCATTGTGTGTATATGGCACGTTTTGTTGGCTGAGCCATTGATGGACACTCGTTTGCTTTCACCTTTTGCCTATTGTGAAGAATGCTGCTGTAAACATCCGGATACAGATACCTGTTCACTTTCAGTTCTTTGAGTACATACCCAGAAGAATTGCTGCATTGTGTGGTAGTTCTGTGTATAATCTTTTGAGGAACAGCTATACTGTTTTTTTTGTTTGTTTGTTTGTTTTTTCGTTTGTTCTTGACTCGGAGTCTTGCTCTGTCACCAGGCTGGAGTGCAGTGGCACGATCTCAGCTCACTGCAACCTCCGCCACCTGGGTTCAAGCGATTCTCCCGCCTCAGCCTGCCGAGTAGCTGGGACTACAGGTGCGCACCACCACGCTGGGCTAATTTTTGTATTTTTAGTAGGGACAGAGTTTCACCATGTTGGCCAGGATGATCTGGATCTCTTGACCTCGTGATCTGCCTGCCTCGATCTCCCAAAGTGCTGGGATTACTGTGTGATCCACTGCACCTGGCCTGCTATACTGTCTTCCATCGCAGCTGCACCATTTTATTTTCCCAAGCTCTTGAGTTCTTAGGATTTTCTCATTTTCTCCATTTCCTCACCCCCATTCTACTGTCCTAAGAAAGGATGTTCTATCCTTTTCTTCCATAATCTCAGAAAGCCTTGAAAGCTGAGATGGTTGTTAGAGCTCACCTAGGCCATCTTTATCCACTTTTCAATTGAGGAAACTGAGGCCTAGGGGTGGGAAGTGGCTCACCTGTGGTCACACAGCAAAGGCCAGGATCGGACTTCTCTGCCCACTAGGCCAGTGCCCTTTGGTGATTCCACACTTTGAGTAATCCATAACTCAGTTGTCAAATGAATGCAGGTGCCGTGCATACCCTGGCTCATGATTCATCCTGGAAATGAAGCAGACAATACCTAGGACCCTCGGATGGGGGCAGGAGGGGAGGAAAACCAAACCAGAGCTTGATCCTTTTTCTCTTTGCACAGGACCAACCTCCTTACCACCTCAAGGCCTTCAATGTGTGCATCAGCTTCCCCCAGGAGTATCCGTTTAAGCCTCCCACGATCAAATTCACAACCAAGATCTACCACCCCAATGTGGATGAGAATGGACAGGTTTGCCTGCCCATCATCAGCAACGAGAACTGGAAGCCTTGCACCAAGACTTGCCAAGGTGGGTCTGGGCTTTGCCTGGAGGAGGGACTGCTATTGGAGGAGTAGAGATTACTGGAGAGGGGGTTCACAGACTTACTCTGAGCTTGAAAAGCCCAAAAAAGAGGAGATAAAAACTGTGAGTCTTGGCTGAACTTACTGTGAGATAGAAGGGGTGCTTCCTGGACAGGCTGACTTCCTCCTGCCTCTGTTTCTATACCTGGGCAGTAGTGACAGAAGAACTTTGCCGTGGTTCATGGGAGAGGCAGCTTGGCTGCACCAGGAAGGGCTCGGGATAAGAAAGCCCCCTGTTCCCTCTGTAGACTTTGGGCAAGTTTTCGATCCTTTCTGGGACTCTGTGTCCTAAATGACAGTGGAGGGAACTGGCCTAATAATAATGATAAGACCTGTCACTCGACTGAGCACTGTGCGAAGAGCATCTCAGGCCGACTTCATTTGTATTTCCTCCACAACCCCATGAGGTAGTGTTGTCATGTTTAATAGACCTGGACATTGAAGCCTGTGAGAGGTGAAGTGGTTGCCTGAGCTCATACAGATGGCAAATGACAGCACTTGGCTGGCTCACTAGCCACATGTGGTGGTTGTAATGGAGGAACTCAATTCTTTTTTTGAGACAGAGAGTCCTGCTCTGTCACCCAGGCTGGAGTGCAGTGGTATGATCTCGGCTCACTTCAAACTCCGTCTCCCAGGTTCAAGCGATTCTCCTGCCTCAGCCTCCTGAGTAGCTGGCATTACAGGCATGTGCCACCATGCCTGGCTAATTTTTGTATTTTTAGTAGATATGGGGTTTTGCCCTGTTGGCCAGGCTGGTCTCGAACTCCTGACCTCAGGTGATCCACTCACCTCAGCCTCCCAAAGTGCTGGGATTATAGGCGTGAGCCACCATACCCAGGCAGAACTCAATTTTTAATTGTAATTAATTTTAATTCTTTTTTTTTCTTTTGACCCAAAGTCTATCTCTTTTCCCCAGGCAGTTTAGTGGTGAGATCTTGGCTTACTGCAACCTCCACCTCCTGGGCTCAAGCCATCTTCCCGGCTCAGCCTCCCAAGTAACTGGGACTACAGGAGCATGCCACTGTGCCTGGCTAATTTTGTATTTTTGGTAAAGACCATGTTTTACCATGTGGCACAAGGTGGTCTTGAACTTGTGAGTTCAAGCCATCCATCCATCTTGGCCTCCCAAAGTGTTGGGATTCCAGGTGTGAGCCACTGCACCTGGCCTGATTTTAATTAATTTAAATTTAGATGCCCGCGTGTGGCTAGTGGCTGTCATATTGTACAATGCAGCTCTAGAGCCTGTGGCTGAATCAGTAGGCTATTCTCCACCTGGATTAGCTTAGGAGTTCTTATCTCGAGAAAAAAACGTCCTTAGGTTGGTGGGAGTGGGAGCTAGGAGAGGAGTGGTTCTTGGATGAGCTTCAGGGGGTCCGGGAAGCACTCTAAGTCAGCGCTGTCTGTGTTGCATGTGGATGTGTGCATCTGTCCAGGGAGATGGGCTGCTACCTTCTCCAGGTTCCCAAAGGCACCTGTTGAAAGATGAAGAGCCAAGGGCAGTGGTGGTTTTCAGTCTTCAGCCTTAGACCCCTTTTGCCCTAGTAAAAGTTTATTTAGACTCTCAATATACTGGAGGAAAACAGTGTTTTTTGTTGAAATGGCGATAAGACCCAGAAACCGCACTTATCTCAGTGGCCCTGGTAATGAGGAGCTTCTTTGAAGCTGTGGAATGTAGCTATTTGAAAACCACTGATGTTTGGCCGGGTGCGGTGGCTCATGCCTATAATCCCGGCACTTTGGGAGGACGAGGCGGGTGGATCATGAGGTCAGGAGTTTGAGACCAGCCTGGCCAAGATGGTGAAACCATGTCTCTAAAAAAATAAAAAATTAGCTGGGTGCGGTGGCGCACACCTGCTGTCCCAGTTACTCAGGAGGCTGAGGCAGGAGAATTGCTTAGAACCCGGGCGGCAGAGGTTGCAGTGAGTCGAAATCCTGCCACTGCACACCAGCCTGGGCAACAGAGAGAGACTCCGTCTCGAAAAAGAAAACCACTGGTGTAATCATTCAGGGCCTTGGGTGTCAACAACCAAGAATGGGCAGGGCATTTGATCTGGTCATAGAGTCATCTTAAGCTATGGAACCTTTTCCCCAAGGAGTGGGTGTGGCATGTCAGGGCACTGGGAATGGGCAGCCATGACCCCCTTCCCTCTGCCCTGATGTCCTGATCTGGCCTGTCCCTTCCCAGTGCTGGAGGCCCTCAATGTGCTGGTGAATAGACCGAATATGGCAGAGCCTCTGCGGGTGGACCTTGCTGACCTGCTGACGCAGAATCCAGAGCTGTTCAGGAAGAATGCTGAAGAGTTTACCCTCCGATTTGGAGTGGACCGGCCCTCCTAACCGTGTTCTGACCCTCTGTGTACTGGAGCCTCTGCGTGGTGGACGGACACACCTCATAGACTGGGGCCGGAACCCCTGGATGATCCATTGCCCCACTCATTTTTCCCTTCTTAGGTTGTTAGTCATTAGTTTGTGTGTGTGTGCGGTGGATGGAGGGGAGCTGTGAGTGTATGTGTTGTGTGTGGACTCACTCTCGGGTTCGCCTGGCCACACCCTTCCCACACCCTTTGCATCCCCCAGAGCCAAGGGAGTTGAAGTTTGCAGAGTTACAGGCCAGTTCTCCACCTTAGAGAGACAGGTAACCCAGCAGGCCCGCTTGCAGGAAATGAGCCCAGCCACCGACTCAGATCCCCCTAGGGCTCAGGCACTGAGGGCCTGGGGACAGTGGCGAATATGGGTGGGAGGCACATGGAAGGTACCCTATTTACAACTGAGTCAGCCAAACCACTGATGGGAATGCAGATGCAGGTGCTAAGCCTTTTATTTTCCACGGATGAGTCACAGTAGGAAGAATCAAACCTCCATCCTAAAAATCTGTATGTTTCGAAACCACTTGCTGTTGTGTTCGGTTGCCGGTTCCTGGGACCAGGCCTCAGACTGTGAAGTGTGTGTCCTCCAGCATCCAGTCCAGGGGGAGCCACAGAAACCATGTTCTTGCTTAAGCCATTAAAGTCAGAGATGAATTCTGGAGTGCAGCTGAGTCTGATGGGGGGATGGGTTGGTTTCATCAGGACCAGAGAGGACTGGGGATTTAAGCTGAAATTTCTCACCCTGCTTCCCTTGGATGTTTCCCAAACATCATGAGGAGTGTTGGCCATGGAAAAATAGGCCATCCTTGGACAGAGGAGCTTTCAGAAGGTCCGCAGGGACGACATCTCCCTTTCCTTTCCTTTCCTTTTTCCTTTCCTTTTTCCTTTCCTTTTTCCTTTCCTTTTTCCTTTCCTTTCCTTTCCTTTCCTTTCCTTTCCTTTCCTTTCCTTTCCTTTCCTTTCCTTTCCTTTCCTTTCCTTTCCTTTCCTTTTCCTTTTCCTTTCCTTTCCTTTCTCTTTCTTCTTTCTCTCTTTCTTTCTTTCCTTTCTTACTTTGAGACAACATCTCACTCCACCACCCAGGCTGGAGTGCAGCGGTGCGATCTCTGCTCACTGCAACTTCCGCCTCCTGAGATCAAGCGATTCTCCTGCCTCAATCTCTCAAGTAGCTGGGATTACAGGCACCTGCCACTATGCCTGGGTAATTTTTGTATTTTTAGTAAAGACGGGGTTTCACCATATGGGCCAGGCTGGCCTTGACCTCCTGACCTCAGGTCATCCACCTGCCTCGGCCTCCCAAAGTGCTGGGATTACAGGGGTGAGCCACTGTGCCCAGCCAACATCTCCATTTTAAAGATGAGGCAATGGAGGAGTCACAGGGCACTTGAGTGGATTGCTTGGACTCGCTCTGCCAATCCACAGCCCCACAGGCGAGCGAGGGTTATGGCTGGGGTGTGTTTTGTGTTCTGTTCTTCCCTTTTTCGTGAGCTGCTTTCCTCAGCACACATGCCCCAAATGGCTGGTAAAGCCAAACTGGATAGTTAGCAGGAAATTGTCATCGGCCCAGGGGTTTGTAGCTCTTGAGCAATGGAAAAATAAAAACAAGCCAAAGCTTCAGCCAGATGGAGGGATTAACTTAACCCAGAGGAAGAACTTTCTGGTCGCAATTGTAAGCTCCTGGAATACTGCTGGCGTTTCAGAGACCGAATACGGGGTGTCTTTGAGTGAAGAAAATGACCCAGATCCCACTGGTTTCTGGAGAATCTTCTCTAGCTCCTGCCCTGGAGTCCCCCAGCCTGAGAAGTGTAGAAAGGGGGAAGATAACCAGAAGAAGTGCCACCAGAGTCAAAACGCAAGTTCGTTTTTATTTTTGGCCACCGCTTATTGACCACTTGAGTGGCAGGACTGGGCAAAGGTTTTTGCCCATTTCATCATCTCATTTAACTCTCACAACATAACTCTTAATTCATAAGGGTGGAATTCCCATTATTCCCTTTCAGACTGTAAACTGAGGCCCAGAGAGGTTAACCGTATGTCCCAGTGTCACACAGCTTGTTAGTGGTGGGACCCAAGCCATTGTCCTTTCCCAGACACCTTGCACAGTTACTGAGATCTCAGCAGGTGAGGAAACCCCTGTGGCCAGAGTTTATTATCCCAGAGTGCAGAGGTTCCTGGGCCAAGTATGGAGAGAGCACTGAAGGGCCAGACAGGGTTTTACAAAAGCACTTTTTTTTTTTTTTTTTTTTTTTTTACAAAAGCACTTTTAATGCAGTTAAAACCAGCATCACACATCCTTGCCTGAGCCCCTGGCACAGAAGGGAGCCTCCAGGCCACGGCTGGTGAGCTAGGCGCCCTGCCCATCTCTGCCCACAGAGCCAGCCACCTCCTCATTTCTTCTTGGTCTTCACCAGTCCTTTCTGCACGAGGCTGCGGTACAGTTCCTGGATGTAGGTGTAGACACACTTGGAGTCGGGCACGGCCAACCGCACCATGTCATCCACGTCCAGCAGCTGAGCACAGTCAGCCAGTTTCCTAAGGAATGGGGTGAGATGAGGAGCAGAAGGTCAAAGGTGAAGGAAATGGGAGCTAAGGGGATGGGTGCAGGTAGCCCAGCAAGGATGAAGCCCATAGGATGGGCTAGGATGTTGGAGGTGGGAGATCAGCTAAGCCAGCCGTCCCGTTATACAGATGAGATAACCCAGGCCAGGTGCTTTAGCTGTGATACTCCTATAGGTAAATCAGAGGATGTAAACAGGTAATCCCAAGGCCAACATCAGTCAATTCTTCAATAATGAGTTTTAGGCCAGGCACAGTGGCTCACATCTGTAATCTCAGCACGTGGGGAGGCCAAGGCGGAGGATCCCCTGAGCTCAGTAATTCGAGACCAGCCTGGGCAACCTAGTGAGAACTTTTTGGAGAATGGGAGCTTCTAAAAAAAAAAAAAAAAAAAAAAAAAAAAAAATTAAAGACTCAAACCCAGCTGGGACTGATTCCAAAGCCACATTTTCATTGCACTTCTTGTCCTCACATGGGAGCAGGACCCTGTGGTCTCTAGTTCTGCATTAACCCACCACTTTCACATGCATGTGTATCTGTCCTCTGGAACCGGGGAGCTTCTGTTAGGCCAGGTCCCTCAAAAAGAACTTAAAGGGGCTGGACGTGGTGGCTCACACCTTTAATCCCAGCACTTCGGGAGGCCAAGGCAGGTGGATCACCTGAGGTCAGGAGTTCGAAACCAGCCTGGCCAACATGGTGACACCCTGTCTCTACTAAAAATACAAAAATCGGCTGGGCATGGTGGCAAGCGCCTGTCATCCCAGCTACTCAGGAGGCTGAATCAGGGGAATCACTCAAACCCAGGAGGCGGAGGTTGCAGTGAGCTGAGATCACACCACTGGACTCCAGCCTGGGTGACAGAGTGAGACTCTTTCTCAAAAACAAACAAACAGGCAAAAAGATAAAGGACAGGAACCAAATCCCAGCCAGAGTCCTGTCTTGCAGCTGCCGTATCTCCAGGAGCGTCATTCATTCGGTCTCTGTGTATTTATCGGGAGCCTATTATGTGCCGGGTCCTCTTCTAGGCTCTGAGAATTCACCAGTGAATAAAATCAAAACTTCCCCACTCTCGTGGCATGGAAATTCTTGTGGCAGGAGACAGTAATCAGCACACACAGTAGATGGTACATCAGATGGCGAGAGGTGCTAAGGAGGAAAATAAGGCAGGAAGGGAGACAGAACATGTTCCTATGTTGGAGGAGATCTGGCATTTTAATTTATTTTTTAATGGATGTAATTATTTATTTTTGAGATGGAGTCTTGCTCTGTTGCCCAGGTTGGAGTGCAGTGGCATGATCTCAGCTCACTACAACCTCCGCTTCCTGGGTTCAAGCGATTCTCCTGCCTCAGCCTCCCAAGTCACTGGATTACAGGCGTGTACTACCATGCCTAGCTAATTTTTGTACTTTTAGTAGAGATAGGGTTTCACCATGTTGGCCAGGCTTATCTTGAACTCCTGACCTCAGGTGATCTGCCCACCTTGGCCTCCAAAGTGCTGGGATTACAGGCGTGAGCCACCGTGCCCGGCTGTGGTATTTTTTTTAGGGTGTTCAGGGTAGGCCTCTTAAAGAGAGTAAGTCATATGCACATCTGGGGAAAGGAAAGAGCTTGTGCAAAGGACCCGAGGCAGGAGCTTGGTGTTTCAGTAGCTGCTGGCACTTGGCAACAAGTCTTCTTTTTCTGACTTTGCAGCTGCCCTTTGGGGCTCTGTGACACCACAGGCTTTGCTGAGGCCGAAAAGCTGAGCTAATCAGTGTTGGGGCCTCACGCCAAACTCCTGCTTTATCAGATGCTTCCCCTCAAATGTTCTAATAGACTCCTTCCCTCCATCCTCAGCCATCAGAAGAGGAACTGCAGACTCAGAGTGGTTTTGGTGGCTTGGCCAAGGCCAAAGTGAGTGACGCAGCTGAGCCTTAACCTGGGGGCCTGATGCCTCTGGCATCCTCACTCTGGAGCTGGGTCTCAGCAGTCCCTGCCCACCAAAGCCAGCCATAGGTGCTGGCATAGGAGAAACCAGGGCCCAGGTGGAAATCCTCCTTTGGGGCTGAGACTGCCAAAATCCACACCAGACTGGGAGCCGTGGGAAGAAGGACACACACTGGAGGATTTTGGAGAATTGTATAAGCTCCCTGCATCCAATGCAGTGCCCCACAGTTGTGGGTTAGGGTGCTGTCCTTCTGTGTGGCAGAGGCAAAAACCTTCATTCCCATCGAGCCTGGGGAGTGAGTGGGGAAGGGCCCCGCCACTGAGGGCTTTGGCATTGGCCACTCCCTGCCCTCACCCCTGGACTCCATGGGAATCCGAGGAGAGTTGTGGAACGGGCAGTGCGGTATGATGGCTGTGGCAGACACTCTTTCCTCTTCACACTTAATCTTCACAACAAGCCCTGTGAAGTGAGGCTTCCAGAGAGGTTAGGTCAGCTGGAGAGGGTCACAGAGCTAGGGAGGAGGAGACAGGGTTCAAACCCAGGCACCTCAGCTTCTATTCTCCTCCCTCCTTCTTCACACATCTCTACAGCCTCCTGGCCTTTCAGGTGCCTGATGCCTCCTGTCGGCCTGTCATTGCCATCTGATTTCTCCTCCCACCTTCCAGTGGCTCTGCCTGGCTTGGAACCAGAGTCCAAGCAACTGCAGGAGGACAGTGGTTCACACCCTCCAGGCCAGGAGCACTTGGTCAGGGCAGAGCTGTCTGACCTCCTGATATTCTCTTAGAGCTGTAAGTCCAGATGTCCAATTTCCCTTTCATTTTTAAAAATAATAACTTTTTTTTGGAGACAAGGTCTTGCTCTGTTACCCAAGGTGGAGTGTAGCAGCTCAATGACTCAATGAAGCATTGACCTCCCGGGCCCATGTGATCCTCCCACCTCAGCCTTCCTAGTAGCTGGGACCACAGGTACCCACCACCATGCCCAGCTATTTTTTTGATTTTTTGTAGAGATGGGGGGGGGGGTCTCACTATGTTTCCCAGGCTGGTCTTGAACTCCTGGCCTCAAGTGATCCTCCTGGCTTGGCCTCCCAAAGTGCTGGGATTATAGGCGTGAGCCACTGCCCTTGACCCAAACAGAGATTCTTGTCTGTTTCACCCACTGCTTTATCCCC